GGCAGCAGAACCACTGAGCCAAATCCCCAGATCTAAACCCACTGTTTTGAACTGGAGCAGAGAGAGAAAAGCAGAGGCCCAGTCTCTCTGAGAGTCCTTCCCTGACACATGAGACCGCAGAGTCACAAAACAAAAACATTTAACCAAAATCAATTTTGTACCCTTACAGGAAAGGACACAGGCACAGACTGGGCTGTACTGGACAGAAACAGCCATTCAGTCTGTTTAAAATCAGTCCAAAATGTAAAGGTAAACTGTTATTTCCAAAGCTAAATCCTGAATGTCATGGGCTTTAACTTAGTGAGGCTGGCAGTGTAAGAGAGAAAACTCCTTCTTCCAGGGGGCATGCAGACTCAACACAAGTCAGGAGTCAGATTAAATGATGGCTTTCTTACCAGGCTAAATGGAGAAAGGTGCCCTTTCAGGAAGGACTTCCACCTCCAGAACAGTCTTTAGGAGTCTTCTCTGCTCACCAGGACCGCACTCTGCTCTGCACCAGAAAAACTCCCGGCTACTTTTCTGCAGTAGGGATGCAGAGGACCCGACCCTAGCTGGTGTGCCGTGTCTCTGGGGAGCAGCTGGCCCTCCCGAGTGGTCTGTGACAAGCTGGAAGGGTGTGTCTCCCGGGGCCCAGTTCCAGAGGAGCCGCTGTGGTCTTCAGTGAGTTGCAGGAGCTGGCCCTGTGGACGTTTCTAGTTGCCCTCCCTGCAACCCTCCAGAGGAGTCAGTGTGCACTGTTAGCAGGCAAGGACTTTCCCTGATGCTGTGTCTATTGAAAGAGAAACAGCAGCCCATGCCAGACCACGCTACACGGTCCAGTTACTGCGTCTTCTTGCTGAGAGGGTGAAGAGGGAAGCTGGAACCCAGTGGAGTGGTGGGGGATGCGTAGAATAGTTAATCCACTTATATAAAGGGTTCCTTATATTTTAGCAATCATTGACCAGTGTAGGAGATTTAGAACCTAAATGTAATTATAAAAAAGGGAAGTAACATAATCCATACTCTAGAGATGTAAAGATAGCTTGATAGTTTGGCTTTTCTCACCTTTTAGCCATTTTTATGCAGTTCCCATAATGAGTACATTTTATTTATATAATTTCATATATATTTACCTTTGAAAATACATTATGATCACTTCTTATCATTCACAAAACGTAAAACTACTGGGTGTGTGCATTTAAAATTTCTTGTTATTATTGCCAGAGGAACTGTTTTATTATGCCATGTGGGTAAGCAGTCGTCTTTCAACTTTCTCTGCTGAATTCATGAAAGCTTTAGCTGTAACTTTCATCTGAAGATAAGGTTATTGTTGAGAATCTGACAAGTATGGAACGATGTAAATCATATAATATTTCATACTTTTAAGCCCTGAAGGCTGGGATGTAGGATCTGTAACATTTCCTCCAGGACACGATTGTATGTAGCTGACAACATGTATGCATGAAACACGAGCTCTGTGTCTCTAGCAGAGTTTCAGAGCAGCTCCTCCCCGCACTGCTGCGGATGGGCAAACCTCACCCTCCGCGGCCTCTTGTGTCTTAAGCCTTAGGGTGTCTCGCGCATTTTTAGCAGAGGTGGGACGCTTTAGTAACTCCCATATGCCATACCTTCATGATGGTAGAGCTCCAAGTTTGAAATTTCAGGGCAGGAGATCCAGCATAGATGATTCTTAGGACTTTTTGCTCAATGACTTTTCAGAACGAAGCCACTTTTAACAGTTTCATAATCTTTCTAGTTCCAAATATATGATATGTAAAGTTTCTCCATGGCCTAGTGGTTAGGATGCCTGGTTTTCACCCAAGTGACCCGAATTCAACTCTCAGTGTTAGAATGCGGAGACTTTATCCAAATGTCACGTTATGCACCCAAAGCAACGTATGATCCATATAGGCAATGCGTTAGTGCTCATGCTCCAAGGGAAGAAGGTTCACGGGATGGCTGTGCTACTGAACATTCTGATGCTTTATACCGAGAGGTGGCTCACGTGACATGTCGCTGTTCTTAGCACGAAGCGGGTGGTGTGCATGTGTGTGCACAAGGGCAGGTGTGTCCCAAGCACACGTGTGATGTGCATGAGGTCAGTCCCCATTCAGGTCAGGTGAAATAAGAAGAATTTCTTAATGAAAGATGCAGCTTAGGTGCATGATAAATCTTTGCAGCTTACCTCATTGTTTGAAAATGTCTTGCTTGTGAATTTGCTTACTCACTAAAGTATGTTGCCCCCAAATCATGACTTGGTTCTTGAGTATGCACAGAGCACTGAAAATTTTTATTGGTACAAGTTAGAGATGCATAACAATCCCACTTGTCATAGGGAATTGAACCTTCACATGATGTATCTTGCTTCCTCTTCTTTCCCCTTCCCTTCCTTCAACCCCTTGTCCGTCCTTGTGGAAATTGTCAGTTACTGGATGTACATACTCCTAGCCGTGGTAGGATAATATACCCTGCCTTCCTATTTCAGTGCTCATGCCTTAAATAAGTATTTGCTGGTGTGTATTTCTGTAAAAAGCCTTTCATGCTTTTGTGCATTTTGAAGTGGTTGAGTTAGCTGTTTAAAATGACCTCCAAGCACAGTCCCAAAGTTCCACACGTTGTTACCGAAGACAGGGAAATTGTGCCGCAGCATGTGGGGAAAATATCCATGTCAGTGAAGCCCGATTCAGGGTGCTGGGGGTTCAGTAAGTTCAATGCTAGTCAGTATTAATCACCAGTGAATACTAAATGTCGTGCCTTTAAGTAAAAACACACACAAGGTGAAGTTATGCATTGATCAATCAATAAGAAATGTGTGATTGGGGTGCACAGAGACATGACCCCGAGCCGCTCTGATGGGGAAAACTATAAATATCAAAAACCTATAAAGTGTTACAATGTGAAATGGCTTCTGCTGCCTCTAACAGTGTTTATTTGTATAGCTCAGAACTAACAGGCACCAAAGACACTAATTGCTGAATGAGGCATCCATCTGACCCTAAGATAACAGGGTCAGCAAGACCTTGAGCTCCAAAGAGACTGGAGCCACATGATCGTAAGAGTGTCTGGATGAAAGGACCCATTGCTAACATTGGCTCCCCTGACCCTGAACACCCCCTTCCGAAGGGCTAGAGTAGGTAACTAGGCGAATCTTAGAGGTAAACTCCACAACTGCAAAGAATTATTATGTCTGGGTTAAAGTTAACTATCCTGTGACCATGATGTGAACTGTGAGAATGAAGTGGAACCACCCAAATGAAGTCAAAGCTGTGAAACCTTATGATAGGAGGAGCTGTAACCCAATGTGTTGTCAATCCAGGCACTGCTTATGTTCTATCAACCCCCATCGATGGAGTAAACTTTTGTTATTTTACTTCCATTTTGCTGCCTCTCTGTGTACCACTTGCCAATTCCTTCCAGAACAGCCTCGTGGAATTCCTGGATGGTCCAGTCCTTGGAGCCCAGTGTTTACTGAGGGAACATTCTCCCTGCAGGAACTCAACCTCCTCTGAAATACTCACAGTTTTATTTCTAGGACACAAATGATTGGATTTGTTAAATTTTTTATATTACTACACAGCTGTGATACATAATAATTGCATTCGTTCTGCAGAATTGGTACACACAGTCTCCGGCTGTTTTCGATCCCCTACCCATCCCACTTTCCCAGGTCCCCTTTAAGAACAGCCTCGTGGAATTCCTGGATGGTCCAGTCCTTGGAGCCCAGCGTTTACTGAGGAAACATTCTCCCTGCAGGAACTCAACCTCCTCTGAAATACTCAGTTTTATTTCTAGGACACAAATGATTGGATTTGTTAAATTTTTTGTATTACTACACAGCTGTGATACATAATAATTGCATTCGTTCTGCAGAATTGGTACACACAGTCTCCGGCTGTTTTCGATCCCCTACCCATCCCACTTTCCCAGGTCCCCTTTCCCTTTTCAAAAAAATGTCCCTCCCTGTTTCCTACCATCTCTCCCTCCTTTTCTCTTGAAGTTATTTATATTTGGGCTTCTCATACAAGAGAAACCAGGAGACATTAACCTCCTGTGTCTGATTGGTTGCCCTTGATATTATAGTCTCAAGATGCATCCACTGTTCCTCAAATGACTCAAGCTCATCCTTAGTTAGGTAACACTCCCTTGTGGATATATTCCTCATCCATCTGTTGGATTTTTGTCTTTGGATAAGATTTCTTCTTAATTCTCTAACTGAAACAATTATTGCAGGTGTTACCAAATTCATTTCTTCCCTCACCTTTTCTCTTGTAAAATAGACTGTGAGGAGATAAACTAATACCAAACTCCTATCGACTTGGCATGAATTTGGAGTAAGCATCATCATAAGTTATGTGATACACTAACTTTCTCACCCAGCGTTCTGCTTTCACGTCAAGATTTATGTTTGTTTTGATAAACTTTTTAAAATATATATTTTCCATCTCCATTCTTTAAAAAGTATCCAAGTGGTAGCTATTGTATTTGAAATGTG